TCTCTCTCTGTCAAATAAATAAATAAATAAAATCTTAAAAAAAAATTCTAGGATCAAAGTGATTTTCCTTCAATGCTTTATTATTTTATCTTATTTTTCTTTTAAGTAATCTTTACACCCAACTTGGGACTCAAACTCGCAACCCCAAGATTAAGAGTCACACGCTCTACCCACTGAGCCAGCCAGGCACCCCCTTCCTTCAATGCTTTAAACACTGTACCCTATTGTTTCTTGTACCCAGTGTTGCTGTTAAGAAATGTTATGTCTGGGGACGCCTCAGTGGCTCAGGTGATTAAGTGTCTGACTCTTGATCTCAGGATCATGAGATTGTGAGATCGAGCCCCATGTCGGGCTCTGTGCTCACTGGGGAGTCTGCTTGAGATTCTCTCTCTCCCTCTCCCTCTGCCTCTCCCCCTACTTATGCATGCCAGCTCTCTCTCTCTCTCTCTCTCTCTCTCTCGCAAAAAAAAAAAAAAGAAAAGAAAAGAAAAAAATCTATGTCTGTATGAATCTTGCACATTTGTAAGTGATCCACTCATTGTCCCTGGAAACTTTTACATTTTTCTCTTTCGTTTTGATATTCTTAAGATTTACTATGCTGTATTGGGTATGTGGTTTCCCTGGTCTTTTTTCTTGCATTTGTGGGGCCCTTTTCAGCTGAGGTGGTTTATCTTTCTTCAATTCTGGGAATTTTATCTTTATTTTTGTTCAAGTATTTCTGCCTCTTTTTATTTCCAATAACACAGCAGGCCTGAGTTTTGTTCCTGGCTCTGCTGGTGACTAGAGGAGTGACTTGGGCAAGTTACTTCACCTTCCCCCACCTCAGTCTCCCTAATCTGTAAAATGGGGAGAATAAGTATCATTCACACTGGTTTTTTGTGAGGATTAAACGTGATTAGTAAGCCTTCAATATGGCCAAACAGTCATAGCATTACAGAATTTTATTTTATTATTATTATTATTTTTGCATTACAGAATTTTATTTTTATTTTTTTAAAGATTTATTTATTTGAGAGAGAGAGACCACGAGTGGGGTGAGGGGCAGAGGGAGAAGTAGGATCTCCCCTGAGCAAGAAGCCTGATGTGGGGCTCAATCCCGGGACCCTGGAATCATGACCTGAGCCGAAGGCAGGTGCTTAACTGACTGAGCCACCCAGGCGTCCCAACATTACAGAATTTTAAATGGATGCGTGAATAATTGAATTCGTAGGAAGTATGTATGAATAGGAAGATGAATGAATAAATGCCCATTAGCCCAACTTCCCTTGGGGACCACACCTGCCTTATTCCTTCTCTGACTCCCTTGTTTCTTCTTTACTCAGGATTCCAGGCGAAAGCCCTGGCCAGACAGCCCCCCAGCCCAAGCGACCCCTGTCAGGAATGCCCCTCCCTCGGGGGACGAACAGGAGCTCCATTATGCCTCCTTCAGCTTTCATGAGATGAAGTCGAGGGAACCTGAGGATAAGGAGGCCACCAGCACCAGCGAGTACTCAGACATCAAGACAAGCGAATGAGGATGGCTTAGAGCCCAGTGCTGGCCTGAGGAGTCGTGGCCCCTGGGGGAGAGGAGAAGTCCGGCACTAATTGGTGAAGCATGTGGAGCCCTGTGGCAATACAAACAGGAAGGACTTGCCGAGTGTCCCCAGGTAGAGCTGACTTGGGCTCCAACGTAGGCTGTCAAGCAAGTCACTTCATCGCTCTGTGCCTCAGTTTCCCGTTCTGTAATCAGAGATCATGCACCCTGCCTCAGAGGTGGCTGTGGCCATTAAAGAAATTAACATTCAGAAATCAACCAACAAATGTCCTGTCTCACTGTGCTCAGTACCTACTGCTCTCTGAGGCTGGGGGTGACCAGGCCCAGAGCACAGGGTAGCAACCTGCGGGCGTCATTCTCCTTCCCAGAGCTCTTCAAAGCCTCCCCAGGGAAAGACCAGCGCCTCGGCCTGGCGTTTGTTTCATGATACAGCATCTTATCATCTCCGTGGAGTCTTCTCCTCATCCCACTTGTACCTGTCAGTTCTTCCAGCACATTCCTTACCCTCCTGACCGTCAGTCCCTTCCCTGTCTCGTGGATGGGCCCCACAGGGATCTGTCCAACAGCCAGAGAGCTAACCCCGGGTCTCCTGCACAGACCCCTTCAAGGCTCCCTAGCCTTAGACAATACATCACAAGCATCAGCTGCCCCTGGCTTTTAAAGTCCATTACGGCCCCCCTGTAGCTACTGTTGGAAAAGAAACAATGGGCCCAAGATGGGGGCACTTGCCCCCACAACAGCAAACCAAGACTAAAGGCAGTTTCAACCTCTCCCAGAAATGTGACCTTTATTTTTAATTTATTTGACAGAGAGAGACACAGCAAGAGAGGGAACACAAGCAGGGGGGTGGGAGAGGGAGAAGCAGGCTTCCCGCGGAGCAGGGAGCCCGACGCGGGGCTCGATCCCAGGACCCCGGGGACCATGACCTGAGCCGAAGGCAGACGCTCAACGACCGAGCCACCCAGGCGCCCCAGAGGATCTGAAATTTCCCGATCACTGCTGAGGTCACCTGCAGGGTAAGATCTTCCCCTGAAAAGATGGCCCAATCTGAAAAAATCCTTTCTTTTGATAACAACTCCCTTGCCCCACCCTCCTGCCTATAAAAACTTCCCACTACGCCCAACCTGTCTCTTTACCGGAAGTCAGGAGTCATTGAATAAAGCCAGTTACATCCTCAGATTTACTCAGTGGAATTTTTGGTCTTTAGCACCACTCATCTGCACTTCTCTCCGCTTTCTTCCTTACAACCTCCATGTTATTCTAACTCACGGCTGTGCAATTTGAGATCCCTCCCTTGGAGGCTCTGCTTCTGCTTCCCCTGGCAGACACTGGCTGGGCCTTCACACCTGGAGTCCTTGCACACACCCCGGCTGAGAGCCTGGGCGGAAGAAAGAGCTTATCCTCTCCCCTCCTCTAAAGTTGGACTAATTTATTTATTTATTTTTCTCAAGAAAGCACTAAAACGAAAACAGCCGAAACTTCCCTAGCAGCCCTGCAGTACCAGTGCCCAATGAACTTTTCTGATTGTAAGCGCCTGACATTAGGCTTTTAATTGAGGTACAAAATGGAAATTTTTCTAGAAGGAGGTGGGGCAAGAAAGTTATTAGCAAGAGAAAAGGATCAGTCCAAGCTAGGCTGCTTTCCCTTCTGTGGGGAGGTGAAGGTAAGGGGTCTTTTCCTGCAGATGATCTCCTCTTCCTTTGGGGGATGGGGGGGCCCTTGTGGCAGACTCATTGGCACTGATCAATAAATTCCTGACGGACCGGTTAGGACTACATTTCTGGTGGAATGACAGAGGATGTCAACCACCTCCACTTTGACCTCAGTCTGTACTTTTTTTTTTTTTTAAGTAGGCTCCATGCCCAGCGTGGAGCCTAACATGGGGCATGAACTCACCACCCTGAGATCAAAACCTGAGCTGAGATCAAGAACTGGACCCTTCATGACTGAGCCACCCAGGCATCCCCTCAGTCTGTACTTTCTAATCGATTAAGATCTTCATTCCACCTTATCTCTTAACTCAGGCAAAAGACCTTGGAGGGTGGGGGGGATCATCCCGTGATGGAAAGTGAAACTACCCCCTTAAGCAATAAAAACTGCCCTGAGCCAGCGAGACCCAGCATGACTGACCCCAAGACAATGATCGACTTGGCCTTTACTGCCTAGCAGCACGTTCCCACTGCCCTTTGTCCAACATCTTCTTTTCTTCCTTTTTTAGAGAAAGAGCAGAAGTGTGTGCGCAGGGTGGGGGTGGGGAGGGAGGGGCAGAGAAAGACAATCTCAAGCAGACTCTGTGCTGAGTGCGGAGCCCGGTGCACCATTCGATCTGATGACCCTGAGATCGTGACCTGAGCCGAAATCAAGAGTCAGACCCTGAACTGACTGAGCCACCCAGGCGCCCCCACATTTTGCTCCTATAAACCTAGGAAGATTTTTCAGCTCTCTGAAGACAGTCTTGGCAACACTAGTCCGTGGTCGTCCCGGTGTTGGCCTTCCTGGAGTAAATTCCTGTCTTGTCTCTGTTTGGGATGCCTGGAACCAGCTGCTCCTGCACCTCTGAGCCCTGGTTATAGGAGAGTAAAACTGCAGTTAGATTATGCATTAAGTCCCGGTTTGTGGATTTGGCCTAAATGATGCTATTTTGTGCCTGTGGGTTTTTTTTTTTAATTCCAGTATAATTAACATACAATTTTATTAATTTCAGCTGTACAGTATAGTGATTCAACAATTCTCTACATTACTCAGTGCTCATCATGGTAAGTGTACTCTTAATCACCTTCACTCCCTAGTTAAGAGTCTGTTTTTTGGTTTGTCTCTTTTTTCTTTGTTAATTTGTCTTGTTTCTCAAATTTCACATATGAGTGAAGTCATATGGCATTTGTCTTTCTCTGACTTATTTCACTTAGCATTATATCCTCTAGCTCCATCCATGTTGTTGCAAATGGCAAGATTTCATTCTTGTTTATGGCTAATACTCCATTGTATACATATACCACATCTTCTTTATCCATTCATATACCAATGGACACATGGGCTGCTTCCATAATTTGGCTATTGTAAATAATGGTGTAAATATAGGGGTGCATATATCTTGGAATTAGTGTTTTTGTATTCTTTGGGTAAATACTCAGTAGTGCAATTACTGGATACTAGGGTAGTTCTATTTTTAACTTTTTGAGGAACCTCCATACTGTTTTGCAGAGTGGCTTTATGAGTTTGCATTCCCACCTGCAGTGCATGAGGGTTCCTTTTTCTCCACAGCCTCTCCAATGCTTGTTTCTTGTTTTTGGTTTTGTTTTGTTTTAGTTTATTTTGTTTCAGGGGTGCTTGGATGTCTCAGTCGATGAAGCATCTGCCTTTGGCTCAGGTTGTGATCCCTGGGTCCTGGGATCGAGCCCCACGTTGGGCTCCCTGCTCATCGGGGAGCCTGCTTCTCCCTCTCCTCCCCGCTCGTGCTCTCTGTCGCTATCTCTCAAACAAATAAAATCTTTGGGGGAAAAAGCTTATTTTGTTTTAGCCATCTCTACACCCAACATGGGGCTTGAACTCAGGACCTTGGGGATCAAAAGTAGCATGTTCTTCTGACTGAGCCAGCCAGGTGTCCCGGAGTTTTGTTTTTTATTTTTAAACAAATTTCTGCACATTCTACCCCCTCATGCTCAACTTCTTCCCCAGTCCCCTGCTTCTCCATAGCTGGCCTCACATTCTCAAAAACTACCCTCTCTGTAGGTCACACTGAGATCTTCTTAGTGGTGGCCTGACAAGCTTGGTAGCTTCCCTAAGATAGAAGTTCACTGGGGAACTTCATCTTCTAGGGACATTCTGGTGGCAAATGCTAAGTGAAATGCACTCTGTCACTACTAGTGAGCATGTTACATGTCCATTAGCAGCAGAGTCTCCTGACTGGTGGGAAGATGGCATAGGGGCTGGTCCTTGGAGACATGATCTTGATCCCTTTAGACTCTCCCTATGGAGGTCTCTCCTGCTGTCTGCAACCACCACCAGTCCCGGACTATCGTCTGATGGTTCTCTATCCCTTATAAATAAAACACCTCCCCAGTGTGCATCATCTGCTTTTCTGGGACCAGAGTGCAGTGGATTCAGGAATCACTCTCTATGGCATCAAGCATGTGTGGGTCACAATCCCAGCTTCCAAATGTGCATCAATGATGTGAGACCCTGTGAAGGTTGCGTACCACATTGAGTCTCAGTTTCCCACTCTGCCAAATGAGAATTGTTAGCTAGTCCTCTCTAGGGGTGGTTGTGAGGGTTCATTGGGTCAAGGTGTATAAAGGCACGGTCCTGAGTCTGGCACAGGAGGAGCTCCAATGAACGTCCACCTCTTTCCTATCCTCCACTCAAGGGGAGATCCAGGTACAGACTTGCTACTTAAAGAGTGATCTAGGGCGCCTGGGTGGCTCAGTCGGTTAAGCATCTGCCTTTGGCTCAGGTCATGATCTTCGGGTCCTCGGATTACGTCCCACGTCGTCGGGCTCCCTGCTCAGCGGGGAGTCTGCTCCTCCTGCCTGCCGCTCCCCATCACGTGTGCGCGCTCTAATATAAATAAACAAAATCTTAAAAAAAAAAAAAAAAGTGTGGGCCAAGGGCCAGCAGCATGAGCATAATCTGAAACCTCAGAGAAGACCTTGTTCCTCCCTGTCCTTTCGCCAGGCTGGCTCCACAAGGTCAAAAGAATGTTAAGGCAACAAAAGGGCTGAGGGGAAAAGCACAGAGATGAGCCCAGCCCACTCCCACCCCTTCTTCTGCATCCTCCTTCCCAGGAGGGACCCAGCCTTTCTGAAACCTCTCCGACTTAGATGCCCTGGTGGCCTAGGGCTCGGGACCTCGTGCCTGTGGATTGGGGTCCTTAGCAGAACTGGGGTTTCCGGAACTCACCCAGCTATGCTCCAGAACCACGGACAGCGCCAACCCTTGGGCTGGGAGGTCCCCAGGTCTGGAATGATGGGTGGAGCGCCCCCTGGAGGCAGATCCCTGACCTGCCTCAGATGCAGAGGGAGGAGGGCCGGCGAATGGGACTGGCGTGATCCTCTGTCCTAGGGGACAGAGGTACTGGCCAGAGGACGTCCAAGCTTCTCTTTAATCTCCCTCTGAAAACTTCTTCATCCTGGGAGCTTATTAACTTCAAAGACACAATGCATTTCTCACACAACACGGGGTGACTTGCCCCCCAGAGCTGATTCTGCCTTCACCCCCTCCAGAAAACCTTGTGTGTCCCATTCCTCCTCTTCCTCCCCTCA